ATGTGTTCCCGGAAAAAAAAATAACTATACAATTACCATAAAATAAAATACAGTTACAACGAAATCTATTGTCAACAACCTATCTTATTATACGTATATTGTACAATAAATTTTAACATATTGTTATTACAATAGATGTAAAATACGTCCCATATTGTAAGGATTTTCAACAATAGAACAACATTACAATTTTCGGTAAATGGCTCAAGTTTGTTCGGAAAAAAGCGATTTTTCGTATGGTTAAGATACATAACAACCCTCTTGTTCTATTGTAGATTTCCCCATTTACCATACATTCTATTGTGGAAATAATAAATTCTATGGTTATTTTATTGTTGTAGACAGTACGATTTATTGTGAATACAATAAATTCTATTGTATGGTTACAATACATTTCATTGTACCTCTAAGGTACTTTTCTACGGGTTTGACACATACAACCTTTCAATATTGCTTCCAGAGCCTCACAATAAGCGATTTTATAGTTCGTGAGCGCTCACTCTGAGTGAACACTCACGAATCATAACAACGCTGATTGTGACGTTTTGAAAGCGAAATCAACAGGTTCTACGATTCAAACCCATACTTTATAACCTCTTCTTGTAGCTTACAAGTAAAACATATCATTATAAGATCCAATGATTTAATAATTCCTAAAAACATTTTTTTATGACTAGTGAGTGGAAGCAACCCTGATTTCAGCTAAATTTTAGCAGGGATTATACACAATTTTTAACCATTTCCGGTAAGGTAAATTTATGGTTCACGTTTATGCGGGTAGTGCAGTATGAGATCGCAACGCTCATGTAGTTCAAAGGAGTATTATCAAAACCTGATTTGAAATCGTTTTAGTTTGTTTAGAGCAAGATCGATCATTTGAGCCACCCTAATATCATACGACGAACTATGGGTAATATTTCGGTATAATGGGTCATGGTCTAAATGATCAATTTTCATTTTAAAATTCCCGATTCTTCCGGTTTTAAGGTATAAGATCTATTGCCGATTCAAAATTAAGCAGGCCTGATGTTTTCTGGATCAACTTGCCCCTTAAATGCAACACAGTAGGACTGGCCGTTTTGGTATGTGTGAGGCATCTTCGATGTGAAACATATATAAAATGGACAAGAAAAATTATGGAGGTATATCAATGTTAGATTAGATTAGATTCAGGAAAAAACCTAAATGTTCAATAGTCTATTTTTTTTTTATTTGCGACCACGTGAAATTTTTTGAAATTATTTATGGGCAAATCTTCAGTAGTATAACTAAGGAAGTATTTTTTCAGAGTTGAAAGTATGGGATGGATCACTTGATATATTCAAAAATAAACCATTAATCTTTACGATAATATGTTGATCCATGGAGCCGGTGGGAGCATAATTGTTCCATGTGTATATGAAAGTCCATAGAACATGGGACAATTATGCTTCTACAAGCAGTACAGTCATCGAACAATTAACCCGTTAACGCCCAAGTCATTTTTCACCTCTGGACAAGGCGCGATGTTTCCAGGAGTAACGCAAGGATTATTCTCACAGTATTTGAAAACAAGATGTTAAGGATATACCAAGGATCATTCTAGTGATTTACGGTCTCAATTTCTGTTAAGAAGTGTTTAAAGAAAAAAAAAATGCTGATCTATAAATAGAACTGGGCGTCATTTTTTTTTTTCCTTTGGTTTGTTTTTTCCGTCGATCTTGTTTTCCGTGCTGAGCACCAATGCTACCGACGTGCCAGGAAGGCAGCTCCCACACCTGGACCCTACCTATCGACCCATCAACTCATGAACCGGGGACCAACGGCTTTACTTCCCATCCGAAGGAAGGCGTGATCAGAGATGTTATGCCTCAGAACATACCGGCGGCGCCGACTGGGATTGAACCCAGGCCTACTGGGGTTAGAGGTAATCACGCTTACCACTACACCACCGGCGCCTTGTGGGCGTCAATGGGTTAATTATGAATTAATCAGCTTAGTGAGCTAGCGAACTGTAACTGATCCATAGCTGTGAAACTATTGTATAGAAGATACAAATAGTAAATTTTATTTTCGAGCTTCAAATACACTTACTACTGTTAACTAACCCTTTCTGATTATTTTAAGCGCCTTTAAACCATCAAAAGATGTAGAAAATAACTTACTCTGTTAATATCATGAATATATAATATGAAATTATATATATTTTAACTTTGTTTGATCAATACCTTTACTCCATCGTATTGCCGTATGCGCTGGGTGATGCGGTTACCAATGTTGGCAGTGCTATTCTTCGCCATCGACTGGTAGCAAGCGCTGCCAAACAGTAGACTGCATAAAGCTCAATCGTGACTCTTCGATTGTTTGTATACGTTCGTAAATTCGTAAAAGATTAGAGAAAAGCAATATGCATAAAGGTTCAAAAGTTATTTTGATATATTTGAAAACATGTGGCTTGTGATAAAGTACATCCCAGATAAGCTTGAACATTTTTAATACCGATGGACTGCAAATAGGGCTGGCAAAAGTCATTTTCAATTAAAGATCTCACACGGTTTTTACAGAGATACTTCTTTCACTATCATTGGATGAGACAACAATGATAGAGATTTTCTTCCAAATCTCATCGATTTTTTTTTTATCATGGCAGAACGTGACAGTGTTAGGATCATTGCAATTACTAGGGAAAATGTCGGCTTCGGCAATACCTTAACCTATTATCGTCAGGAGGGTACACAAAGCACTAGAGCATTCAAATTTGGCCAATAGATGCTCTGAAACACCATGTATCCACATGCCAAAATTGAGCTCTTAAGGACGTTGATTACCCCCTGATGATAATAGAATAAGCAATAAAGCATTGCCGAAGCCGTCATTTACCCTAGCTCATTTATTGATATTATTGTTATATGCACCGCGACAAACTTAAGAATATATTCACTCAACAGGTTCCATACTGCTGCTGGCCTAAATTCATCTAAATTAGCTAGAAATTTTGATGAAAAAATCCCATGGATATTATTCTCATGAGTACATGAACATTGGAAAATGACAAGAAAGCTCATGATAGGTAGTTTTGTCTCGTGATAGTGAGAGAATCGGTTTTCTCATTGTCACATGACGACCGTGATATTTACTAGCTCTGACTGCAATATTGAGGGTCAGGTAGGGCAAGAGTGCCACCCCAATAATTTTGAAAATAAACATATTTTCAATTCAAAGTATTATGTTACTTTATACGCGAAGTTTGCGATTTCCAGAGTTGGTTGGAAATGCTATCTAACATGAAACTTTAGAGTGATAATTTATTAGCTAGAGAATGATCTTGGAAGAGAGTAGGTAGATAGTTCCGTTAGAGTACGGCAGTATGAAAATTGAATAGAAGTTGAAAATGAGCGAAGAGCCATTAATGCGACAGTACAAAGTCAAAGTCAAAAGTCTTCAAAACTATGGATACTGTATTACAGAATTTACTCACTAGATGGCACTAAAACGAAAATGATCGAGTTGCGCCATCTTAAATACACATTATATTACGCTATCTAGAGATCCTGCTCATATTAGTGGTTCCCGTCTTTAGCAAAGTTGTTCAGATGGGCAAGACATATCTTAAAGAACAGAGTTAGTTCAGAAATCACTCACCAGGAAGCACTAGTGTGACATTCATGTTTCATTGTTTGCCCTAACTTAACACATGGACTGGATAGAAGGACTCCGTTGTGGGTAAAGTTGTTCAGATGGACAAGACCTATCCTAAGGTAAAGAGTTAGGTTTAGAATTCAGCCACCAAGCGGCGCTAGTGTGACATTCATTTTGAATTGTTTGCCCTAATTTAACATCTTGACTAGATACAAGGTTCCCTTCACCGGCAAAATTGTTCAAATGGACAAGACCTATTTTTTAGTCGAGTTTATTTCAGAATTCACTCACCAGGCGGCGCTAGCGTAACATTGCTTGCTCTAACTTTACATCTTGACTAAATAGAAGGTTCCGGTCTCCGGCAAAATTGTTCAAGTGGACAAGACCTATTCTTTAGTAAAGAGTTCAGTTCAGAATTCACTCACCATGCGGCGCTAGCGTGACATTAATTTTTCATTGATTGCCCTAACTTAACATCTTGACAAGATAGATGGTTCCCGTCGTCGTCAAAGTTGTTCAGATAGACAAGACCTATCCTAAGGTAAAGAATTTAGTTGTATGTATGTATGTAAGGTAGCCACCATCCTTTCAAGACTTGTCTTGTATGCAGCTCCACTTAATAGCAAGATCAATTTGAGCTACCGATTCCTAAGGTAAAGAATTTAGTTCAACATTAATTCACCAGGCGGCGCTAGTGTGACATTAATTTTGATTTTTTTGCCCTAATTTAACATGTTGACTAGATACAAGGTTACCGTTTTCGGCAAAAATGTTCGAATGAACAAGACCTAGTTTATGGTAAAGAGTTCAGCTCACTCACCAGGCGGTGCTAGCGTGACAATAATTTATCATTGTTTGCCCTAACTTATCATATGGACTAGATACAAGATACAAGGACTAGATACAAGATATTCTTCTACCTTACAAGTAGTAGATTCATTTTCGATTGACATTACATATTCTGTTAACGATTTGTGCATAAAGGTATATTGTTTTCTAATTGGAAACGATTGTACCATGATTCATTGCCATATTATTTTCTTCTATAATTATTTCAACTCATCATTCTCTCTAAAATTTAAATATTATCCGATTGTAAAAAAGCGGAAAAGTAAAAAAAAATCAATTGAAAAGAAACGAAACCATAACGCACTTAACACTTAACAAAGGAGCACCCATTAAGTATGCCACGCGAAATTCATGAAAAATAAGGTTCCCTACCTAATGCATTCCTTATCCGGGTTTTCTAAACCCTCCCGTGAAGCGTGACATACTTAATACATGTCCCCTTAAATATGTTTGACTTCTGGCGAACAACATCGCCATTAGCATAGTATGTAGTAAAGATTAATGCAGTAAAAGTGGCAATCAAAAGCTCAAACCTTGTCTGCGCACATGGCGACTTCGATATCCTCCCGGGATATCTCGATGTGGCGAATGTTTTTGACATAGTTGCCGGCTAGCTTCAGGATATCCGCCGAAATGTACTCCAACACCGCTACCAGGAACAATGAAACCGAGCTGTCGATTTTGTACTGCAGAACCTCCTGTTTGGGTATGGAAAACACAATTTTATTGTTTGACTGAGGATGCAACTGATGTTTTCCTACCTTTTGCAGCAGGGTATGGACACGGTCAACCGGAAGAACCGGTTTCTTCTTTTTGGATTTATCTATTGTCTCACGTGCCTCGCTTAGGGCCCATTTGTCGATGGGAGTAGGAAACGTACGCCCAATTCTTTCTTCGACGTCCTGGGGAGATTATAGTTTATTAGTGGTAATATATGGGATGTCTTACAAATTACAACTTACCAATACTGTATGCGGTGGTGGCTTGGCACACAGCATCGCTAGCAGACGCAGGCATAAGCTTTCGACGTAGAGCAGGGCATCCTCGCGGGCTTGCAACGAGGGATGCACTTGCTCTAGAACCTATGAAGAGAAACAGAAAAAAATGGGAAATTATTAGAGATGTCAGTATTATTTTCACATAGCAACTTTCTTCAAAAGATCAAACTTGTAAGGGCTTAAATTATGGAGAAAATGGGATTAATCCAATCTCACTTCAGGGGGATCATATCTTTGGAATCGGTGAACAGTGTGACCAAATATTGATTTCCAAAATATAACCAATGGTGATCAAATTGATTGTTCATTGGTCGCATTAGGAACTCGGACATGTACCAGGTGCCGCACAGAATTGACCTGGCCCTAACCTGCTTCAAAACTCGATAGTCTTCGTCAGTTGAATTGGTACCGTTAGTAACCACCGTCAGGGCTGACAAATGTAAATTTCAATGAAAGATCTCACGCGATATTTACAGAAATACTTCTGTCACTATCATCGGATGAGAAAACGATGATAGAGATTTTCTTCAAAATCTCATCGAATGTTTTGTCATGACAGAACGTGATTTTTTTTTTCCTCTGTTCGGGACATAAAACCACTGCGACCAGTAATTTGATCTATTGTAGTATATCCCGTATCCTTAGTTTAGTGCATGTCGTATTACTCCATCACTATTGAGAAATGATGAAGTATTTGGTTTTCATACAGTTTTCATTCTTGTCTTTATCGCAAGGAATCGATTCTAATTGAAAGGTCCCGCTATTTATACCCTTCGGAGTGTTGAAACACCCTCCAAAGGCGCGCCCCTTTGTCAGTCAAAATTGGATTCCTTAGCAAAAAAAACAAGACATGACACCGATAATGACCATGCATCAGAACCCTAGTCTTAACCACTTCAAACTAGGAAACAACGAATAGAAGATTAGGAATCACATAGGTGAAGACTAACTAACTCATTTTTTCCTTGTTTCAAGATCATCCTCGGTCCACGCAACCCGAGGACTTATCACTATCAACAAGGCATAAAAAGTAACAAGGACTAAGATGTGTTCCTTTGATTACTGTAAAATCCTGTTCCCCTAGTTTGAAGTAGTCAAGACTAGGAATCGGTGGTAGATCTTACATCCCGTAACGTACCACGAAAAGGTGATCTACCCACGTTACGGGGCGACAGAACGTGATAGTGTTATGATCAACGTAATTACTAACTCATTTATTGCTATTTAAGTTACTAGTACCGAGGGAATCTTAATCACTCTACCGATTGCATACCGTTTCTTGCTTAAATTCATCTAGATTAGTTAGAAATGTTGATGTCGAAACCGCATAAGAATTATTCTCTTGAGTGCTTGATCATTGGAAAATGAAAAGAAAGCTAAGGGATAGTCTATTAATTATGTCACGCAAATTTGGCCCATTTTCAACCCCCCTCCCCCCTTTGTCACATTTTTTGTATGAACCTTAATTTTTTTTTTGTATGGCTCGTCACAGTTTTCAACCCCCCCCCCCCCCTGAATGTGTGACATAATTAATGGACGACCCCTAATGATAGGTAGTTTCGGCTCGTGATAGTGAGAAGACCTGTTTTCTCATTGTTACATAACGGCCGTGATATTTACCAGCTCAGGCCACCGTAGCGTTTGTCTACCAAGGAGAGTCGGCTCAAACAGTGTATAACTGGTATCCAGTGGCAGACTGAGAAATGCTTATCAGCGGCGCTGGTGGTGTAGTGGTAGCGTGATTACCTCTCACCCCAAAAGGCCTGAGTTCAATCCCAGTCGGCGCCACCGGGATTTTCTGAGACATAAAATCTCTGATCACACCTTTCTTCGGAAGGGAAGTAAAGTCGTTGGTCCTCGGTCTATGAGTTGATGGGTCGATAGGTAGGTTCCAGGTGTGGGAGCTGCCTCCCTGGTGTCGGTAGCATTGTGGTACTCAGTACGGAAAACAAGATCGACGGAAAACAAATCAAGGGAAAAAAAGAAATGCTTTCTAGAAGCTAGATCAATGATGGCAGACCTATTACGGTTAGATACAGGACCTTTGGACCAGCCACGTACTGACTCCGGAATTTATAAATCGTTCAAGAAACCAAGATTGTGACCTGATTTAATTGCATCGGCTTGATTTGGTGTAGAACGAATGAATGCTGAGGGGCAAGAAAGTTTGGAACAGAATTGTGTGTGAAGTAAAACAGCGCCAATACTGTAGAGGGAAATTTGCTGGCAGATAAAACAATGCCAACCAGCCAATCTCGATTAGGAATTTCCTGGTTTTAAATGAGCATAAAACCCAATGCGATTGAACCAAATTTATCACTAGGTTTAATGGGTCATCACTAAACAATTGTCAAAATTTATCTATGTTTTAACTACCTTTAAAATTCGTTCTTAAAATTTTGCAGAATTTCTTTGGAATGTTCTCAAGAATTTCCGTTAGACTAATTTCCCTACATAGGGTTCTTTTCAGAATTCCTCAGAAATAAATTTGATCCATCTACCGTATGCGTGATAATGTTTGCACCATCGTACAAATAAGGTTCCCGTTTTACCTGTGCATACAATGCCTTGGTTTTCTTTGCATGCACGTAACCTATAGTTCATACCGTAGTAGACTGTGTATAAAATAAAATGATTTACTTAGTTTAACAGTTGCACCATGACGAAGTGGCAGCGTAATCGTGATTTGTCCTCCGCGCAAATGTTGCAAAAAGACATTTCAATCGCCGTGGGAGTGTCCCCGTGGACTGCCAAAAGAGTTTTAGACCGAGAAAGGAAAGGACAACTATCCGCGAAGGTGGCCACAGATCGTCCGAGGTCAGCTCGGGTTCCGAGGGTTATCGCTGCTAACAAAAGGAAGATTCGGGTGAAACCAGTGCGTCCAATAAGGGAAATGGCAGAGGAACACGGGATCAGTGAGTTTACGGCACGGAAGATCGTAAAGGAAGATTGCGGGGCGAAGTCGAGGGCACGGAAAAAATCTCACATGATTACCAACCGCATCCGGGAGCTACGAGTCGAACGATGCAAGAAAATCTTGAACTTCCTTAAGCGAAAAATCCGGTAATCCTGTTCACCGACGAGAGCATGTTTACCGTCGATTCCGTATCAAATTCCAGAACCGACCGGTATATTAGTTCTCTTCCGGTAAAAGACGAGCACAAGAACGTGTATCTGACCAAGCATCCTGCTAGCGTTATGGTGTTTGGATTGGTGGCTTCCGATGGCAAAAAAAATGGACCCGGTGTTCATTCCAGAAGGCGACAAGGTCAACACGGAGGTCTACATCGGGATTTTAAGTAAGTATGTTCTTCCGTGGATCAAAGAACAGTACGGTCCGAAGCCAAATGTTGTATTTCAACAAGATGGGTCTCCGTGCCACACCTCGAACCGCACTCAGAAGTGGTTGCAGGAACATCTTCCGTTCTGGGCGAAGGATATGTGGCCGCCATCTAGCCCCGAACTTAATCCGCTGGATTACTCAATATGGCGCGTCATGAAGGCCAAGGCCTATTCTAAACGCCACCCGAGTACAGCAAGCCTCAGACAAACATTGACCCGTACCTGGAGAGAAATCGATCCAGACTACATTATTAGTACCTGCCGTGCATTCCGGAAGCGTGTGGAGGCCGTAATTGAAGCAAGTGGAAACTCGACCGATGATTAACATAGTTTAACACTCTGAAAAACATCCCCCCTTTGAATAAATAAAAAAAAACTCGAAAACGAAATTTTTGAGAATTTTTTAATTTTGACATTGCTCAATGGTGCAAACGTATACGGTACGAACTCGAGCTTCTCTCTGGGAGTCACTTGCAATTTTATTTAAAAAAAAAAAATCAGATTGACCGCCCACGGTTGCTGCTCTGTTATTACCAGATCAGCTGCAATTACACAGAGAACCAACAGATGATGTTTGGGACTAACATTCATCCTCAATGTGTAAGAACTGGAGATCTAATATTTAGCAATACCAGCGCCGGCCGTGTCCGAATGCAGGTCAACTAGGGAATGGGAAGGAATGTGTTGACGTGGTACTCGCTGTGAAGGAAACCGAGAAATCCTCTGTGCTTCCACGTAAAATCACTGGGATGTTGGATGTGGGGAAAGGTTGCACTGCACGCACACGCAGGGATCGTTTTTTTGGTAGAGCGATTATAATACACAAACACACACACACACACACACGCGCGCGCACTCATCCAATTTCTATTTTTAGATCAGGACCAACACTGTGGTAAGTGATGCGATCGGTGTTAAAGAAGAATTTGTTTTCATTAAAATCTAGTGGGTATAGAATAAGGCAAAGTGAAAAATTGCAAGGAAGGGGACGGGCCTGGGATTGAACTCCCGACCTTCTGCTCAGTAAGCAGAAACGGTAACCACTGAGCTACCGAGCCTCGGCAATTTTATTTATAACAATCCAGAAATTCTCTGCAGAACACTCCAAAAATTCATGGAATTCATTCTAACATTCTCATCGAATTTTTAATTATTCTTCCAAGAATTTACTGAAGCTTTCTAATAATGTTAAAAAATTGGTTTAACTTTCCTGACAATTCCGATGAAATTCGTCTCATAATTGTCTTGAAATTCTGCTCAAAAGTATCTCTTCTCGAGATGCCTCGAATTGTCGGGATTGTCTCGTCAAAATTCGATACCCTTGGTATTTTTTTTTGCGGAATTCCCTTGGAGCTCTCTTTAGAAATCATTTCAAATTACACAGTGCAACACAACTTTCTATTCTAGGAAAATTTTACAATGCTTAACTTTTTTATGGTCTACTGAATATAAATTTGCCCTGAAACATCACGGTTTTAAGGTACCGCTCTCTTTAATGAGGTTGTACCACCCTAAAAGCGTGTATGAGATCAGCTAGCTTGCCACACGGAGGTGCTGCGCGTTCTCAAACCTTTCCGGGGAAATTCACCAAAAATCACGTTCACTTATCTGATTTGGTTTCCCGGGAAATTGCTATTATGCGTAACAATTGAAAAGGACCTCTCAGCTTTTGCAAACAAAACTTGTAAGGCCCTTTTTGCGCGAACCGAAGTACTCCCAACCAAACCAAGAACACTATCGGG